CCCCCCCCCCCCCACCCCACAACTGGGGATTCGAGCCTGCAACCCAGGCATGTGCCCTTGACCAGAATCAAATGCTGGACCCTTCAGTCCACAGGCTGTTGCTCTATCCACTGAGCCAAACCAGTTAGGGCTGAAAGGTTTTTTCTTTCATCACTTTAAAGATGTTCCACTGTCTCTGGCTTGTACGGTTTCTGGTGAGAGGTCACATCTGTGTCCTGGTTCCTCTAGAAGAGATGTTCTTTTCTTTCTCTGGCTGCTTTTAAGATTTTGTCCTTGTCTTTGGTTTTCAGTCTGGCTGTGTATTTATAGCTTGTGCCCCTTCCCCCCGCCCCCCCAAAATATAGAATCATTCAAAGACTTTACAGTGAGCACCCAAACATCCACTGCCTAGATCTCCCATTACCTGGTTACTTGACTTGGTTTCCACATGTCCTGAGGACAGTACTAAGTACCAGGAGGGCAGAGGAAATGTGCATTATCTGGGCTGATCATCCAGCGGACCCTGGGACCTAGGGCTCAAAGCTGACTAAGGCAGGCCCGCAGGTAACTAGAGGCCAGCAGGAGAAATGTGCACAGTGGTTACTTGAGGAAGGAGCCTCTAAACGCAGTTGAGGACGAGTGGAGATTCAGCATAGCCCAGGGGTCTGAGAGGCTTTTGGGAGGAGTGATCATCTGTGCAGAGGCAGATAGTAGTCCCAGGAGAAAGTCTGGGTGTGTGGAGAGGACATGCCGGTGACGCCTTGTTTTGACTTTGTGGGAGGGGCTGCAGCTAACATAGGGGTTTTATTTGGAAGACCTTAGATATTCTGTTTGGATTCTACAAGAAAGTAATTATATCTTTACCAGTTTTGCTCCTAACTGCTCCAAGGTCATGTCTATTTCCTTTTCTGTTTAAAGGTATGGATGACAAGAATGCCACGAAGTTGAATGAGCTCATTCAGGTTGGGTAAGTACAAATTATATTATGAGACACCACCTGCTCATGTTGGGCGTTTGCATTGTTCTCTGAAATACAGAACTAGAAATACTCATCTGTCCCTCCCACTCACCCCAGCAGAGCTTCTGCGCTTTCACCCCGACCACTCCGTTCCTTGTCTTAGGTCATCTCCCCCACCACCCAAGATCTCTGCTGGTCAAAGCTCAGCTGTCCTGTAGGTCAAACTATCTCCTGGAACAGTCTTCACTGGCCTCTGCTGTATCCAGAGCATCGCCTTCCTGTACCTCTGGTTCTTGTCTCCCCCAGCCCGGGGTTGGATGGCCTGTGAGCCCCTGTTTCTCAGGTGTGAGCTCCTGCTAGGTGGGGCTCGCTGTATGTGCTTCTGTTCAGGCTCCAGCCCAGCATGGATGCTCTTACAGATGCTCGTGTTGCATTCCCAAGGCTTTATTTCTATGAACTGCTGCCCTTTTGCAGCCAGTCATGATAGTAACTAGGATGTAGATATCACCACCCTGTGAAAGAGCAGACCCACTCCAACCGCCAGGAGTGTAGGTAGTCTTAACTACTGGTGGTGTTGGGCAAACGGAGCCTCCTGGATGTGTGTGGGGTATGATTAGGCAAGTAGGAAGAGGCCACCTGCCATGGCCTTGTGGATCTTTTGTCACCTCCCCACCCCATTTACCTGTTGTAGCTTCAGCATCCCATATTCCTTCCCACCCTTACACCTGCCCTGCATTTGTCAGGTGGAAGCTGTATTTGCTCCAACTTTAAACATTTTTCTCCTGGGCACATCTTCAGGGGAGGAGATGGTAAGTGTGTGCCTAACTCTATATGGAACTGCCAGAACTTTCCAGGGAGAGTTCCAGTAGCTCCTTTTGAACCATCCTAGTGGGTGTGAAGTGGTATTTCATTGTGAGTGTGTGTTTTTGTTGATTGCAGAGAGGAAGGGGAGGGAGAGAGATAGAAACATCAATGATGAGAGAGAATCATTGATTGGCTACCTCCTGCACGCCATACTGGGGATGGAGCCTGTAACCTGGGCATGTGCCCTGACCGGGAATCTAGCCGTGACCTCCTAGTTCATATGTCAATACTCAACCACCGAGCCACGCTGGCTGGGCTCATTGTGGTTTTGATTAGCATTTCCCCAATGACTAATGATGTTGAGCATCTTTCCTGTGCTCCTTTACCATTTTTATTTCTTCTTTGGTGACGTGTTTGTTCAAATCTTGTACCTATTTTCTTATGTTTGAGTTTAGAGAGTTCTTTATATATTCTAGACCAGCGGTCCGTGAGGTCCCAAAGGTTGGCGATCGCTGTTCTAGACACCAGTCTTTTATCAGATAGGTGATTTGTAAATATTTTCTTCCACTCTGTGACTTGTCTCATCATCTCTTTACTAGTGTCTTTCAAAGGGCAGAGTATTTAGTTTTGATTAGATCCAATTTGCCATCCTTTGCTTTTGTGGACTAACGTGTTGTAGCTAAGAACCCTTTGCCTACTAAGGTCACAAAGATGTTCGCCTGTTTCCTTCTAAAAGATTTATAGTTTGACGTTTAAATCCATGCCCTACTTTGGATTTTTTTTTTATATGATGTAAAGTTTATACCTAGGTTTATATTTTTGGCCTATGGGTGTCCAGTTGTCCCAGCCTTTTCTGTAGAAAGGACCATCATCTAAGGTCAATTGACTGTACTAAGTGTGTCTTTTTCAAGACCTTTAATTCTGTTCTATTGATTTGTGTCCATTCTTTCACCAATAGACAAAAGATTTTTATTACAAAGCAAAAAGCTTGTAAAGGTGAAACAGATGCGGGGAAATTAGTACAGTGCCTTGATTTAAGACCAAAAAGCATTGCGTATTTAACCAACTTCCTGTCTGTGCTTCTCCTGCAGACCTTTTTCAATTAACTGTGGATCTCCTTTTGTTATAAAATTATAGAATTAGATAAAAGAGTAAATGAATTGAGAAAAGCTCCAAAATTGAATCTTATTACATTGGTCACAGACCCAGCAGCATGCTTATTGGATTTATCAAGTAACTGTAGAGAAGAAAATAAACCTCTCAGAATGGAAAGCCAGACTCCCATGCACTTAGAGGAATTATTCTGTTGCCTGTTTTGTCAAAGTAACACTCAAGTGCAGGGGTTCAGATAGAATCCTCTGTTTTGTTACTTTCCATCAGAGGTCAAGCTGGCCTGGCCTGTCAGTAGTCTCGCCTGTCTTCCCGCCACGGGGCTGGTGTGCGAGGGTGGGGAGTGCAGGTCGTGTCCCAGGACCGGGCCAGGCCTTGAGAGGCCTTTTCTGTGTGAGCTTGAACATGGCTTTACCTTGTACAGGCTCCAAACTCAGGCTGCTCATAGAACTTCCATTTGAGAGAAAAGGAAAGGAATTGTATTCTCAGGATGGTTATTTAGTCATAAAAAGAGGGCTGCTCAATTTCACTTTTTTTAAAAAAAAGGAAGTCACAAAATAGCAGTTTAACGGAAAATGTGATCATCACAAACACAGGTGCCACATGACACAGCTCCACCTGCTCTTTAAGTCTTGCCTGCTACTGTTTTGTTTTGTTTGGGGGCAGATGCAACAAAAAGTGATGATGGGCAGGAAAGTCCACTTGTCCCCAGAGCCCTTTATTGGAGGAGGTTAAGATTCGACTTGGTGCTCAATTACTGCTGTTTTAAAGCTCTCCTCCCAATTCCCTCTTCAGTAGCACCTTGTGGCCCTGGATCGCCCATGAGTTCAGGTGGCTAAAACTCAAGCTTTGGTCTCAGTGGAGTGTGGTGGTGGTTCATGTGGACTCTTATCCTCTCTGAATTGCTCCTCCTTACAGAATTGGGGGGGCTGGCTTTCTGGGGCCACAGCTGGGAGTTAGCCAATTAGAAAAGTTGGTTAAAACAGAGTCATAAAACTTCATGACACCCATTACTGAGTACAACATGGGCAAACCTCCCTGTTGTGTGGATGCTGGAGAACAGAAACATAAACCTTTCCTGCCCATGGTTTCTCTTCCCTGTCTGCAAATCCACTTGCTAAGGTGACTTGGTTTTAAATAGAAATAAAAAGAATAGGTTATATGTTTGCCTCTAGAAAACAGACAAACAAACAAAAAAACAGTTATAAAACAATATACACGGACCTTGAAACTTTTGTAAAACAGAAACCTACATTTGCTTACCAGACACAGCTGGCTGGCCAAGGCCTTTTCTTTGATGGGGCCCATCCTCAGAGTTCTGGGTTGTTTTTATTTTAGAAGCTTAGTCAAGATGCATTGCAATTAACCGTTTTCAAGCGGAACGAGCATAGAAATGCACGGCAGTGGGGCTGTAGGGTGCTTCCAGTCACCCTCAGTCTTTCACAGTTGTCTTGTCCGCACTCACTTGACTGCCATTTTAAAAAAACAATCTACCCTTATTGAGTAATTCCAAAGCATTCTAAGTGTGTTTATTAGAAGAAACTATTTTTGTGGCTTTTGTACTCGTTTAAAGTATTTCTTTAATTCTAACACTATCTAAAGTCCTGCCACAGCAGTGCTCACAGTGTCACTGGCATCTGTGACAGACAGACTTGAAGCAGGCCCACTGACTTGATGCCCTGTGCCTGCTGGCTGTGAGTGCCCCGTACCCCAGGTCCCAGTAGTATGGTTTCCAGAGGTACTGGGGGGCTGGGGGACATTGCTGACGTGAAGATGTGGTCTCTGAGTTGGGTTGAGGTCACATAGAGATGGGTTGAAACTTATTCACAAGGGATCCTGTGGAGGAAGAGGAGAGAAGGGTACATCATCTGGTATCTGAGGGGGGCTCACTGTCATGGGCTTTCCAGAGGGTCAGACGGCAGCTGATGCCGCGCCCATCACCAGGCAGGAGGCAGGGCAAGTTTCCTGTGAATGACAGGCATCCCCTTTGCAGTGTGAGGTGTGAGTGGGAAAGTATTGGACATCCAGAGCCATAGGGCTGAGCAGGAGCTCTGAAGGCCAGGATGGGTGCCCAGCCAGGGCCTCCCTGCGCAGGACAGGGAGCTACTGTTCATTGAGAGGTCTCAGCATTTCTTTAAAAATTTTCCCAGGGCCACCACAGTGCGTTACAAAGGAAGAAACCTTCGAATCAAAGCGCCCATGTGCCGAGCCCTGAAGAAGCTCTGTGACCCAGACGGTATGTAGAAGGTGGGGTGGGGTTGGGGGCGTGTTTTCTCTTCTCCATTTAGCATTCGATAGGCCGAGCTCTGTGTCCGAGCATTCCCAAACCCATGAGCAATTCTTGGGTCCAAAGCAGTGTGTCCACTCACAGCATTCAGTAGTGTGAGTGGTGGCAGGAGGGAGTCCCGTGGCCTCGTGTGGCCCAGTCATTGCCACAGCTTGGCGGGTACCCTAGTGGCCATGTTGGCGCTTCTCTGCCAGCTCTGCTTCACCTCCCAGGCCATTTGTCCACGGCTCCTCCTGACCGAGTTGTCTGGCCAACCACGTTGCCTTCTGCATGGCAGTCTGTTGGCCAGGCTCTCACAGCCCCTTCTTGTCGCAGGCCTCCAGCTTTGCGGGTACCCTAGTGGCCATGTTAGCGGTTCTCGTGGGCTTCTCTGCCAGCTCTGCTTCGCCTCCCAGGCCATTTGTCCACGGTTCCTCCTGACCGAGTTGTCTGGCCAACCACTTTGCCTTCTGCATGGCAGTCTATTGGCCAGGCTCTCACAGCCCCTTCTTGTCGCAGGCCTGAGTGATGAAGAGGACCAGAAGCCAGTGCGTCTGCCCTTGAGAGTCCCCGTAGAGCTACAGCCAAGGAACAATCATGCCTGGGCCCGCGTACAGAGCCTCTCCCAGAACCCCAGGCTCAGGTAACTGCCTTTGGAGTTTGGTAGGGAGCCAGCTGGGAGGGATGTGAACAGAGGGTGGTATATGGGTTCCCTCATGGACCCCTGAGTGATGCTCCAAAATTCCATGGGGGTAGGGTGAGGGTAGTGTACTGCTGGGGGCCTGGAGGCGTGAGTCTCGCAGGCCAGGAGCGGATGTAGAAAGATGTCGTGATTAGCAAGTTGATGACTATAGCATTTCCCCCATTCCCTTTCCATTGCCTCTTACCATTCCCTAAAGTTTGGTATCTGATTTGTGGATGGGGCACCACGGCGAGTACAGACCATTTTCCAGTTACACATTTTTATTTTTATAGATTGAGGTAAAAGTCACATAACATAGAATTAACCATTAGCCATTTCTAGGTATCCCAATTAGGACACTTGAGTACTTTCACAGTGTTGTACAGCTACCATTTCTATTTAGTTCCAGAATATTTTTGGCACTCCAAAAGGAAGCCTGGTTTCCACTAAACAGTTGCTTCTCATCCCCCCGCCCCTGGTCCTTGGCCCCCAGCAATCGCAGATGTACCTTCTGCCTCTATAGATTGGCTGTTCTGGACGTTAGACATAAGCGGAATCTCCTATTATAGTCCTTTCTTTCTGACCTCACACTGAGCATCATGTTTTCAGGTGCTGAGCATCCACATGGTGGTGTGTCTGTGCTTCGTTCCTCCCATGTGTATTTTTATTTCTCGGGGTTATTAAGGCTGGCCAGGCCTCCCCTTCTGACCCAAAAGGTGCTTATTAGAATAGTTAGGTGGGCTGTGCCCAGGTCCATGTTCTGGGTGAGATCTTGCACTGTGAAGGGCAGATAGGTCTCTGCTTTATCTTCTTGCAGTTTCATATGAGTCTCTAGTTACTCAATTTAAAAGGTTCATTTTTAAGAAAAGGAGTCATCATGGCTCTGGCCCCGCCGTGGTACCTTACTCTTTATGGCATTGACTTGCTGCCAGCAGCCCGGGGGCTCTTCAGAAGGTTCTATCCCCATGGTAACAGCTTTCCTCTTCCCATTTTTGTTTCCTATAGGATGATCGTGGAACTTCATCGGAAGGTCTCCAGCCTCATTGAATTTTTGAAGCAGAAATGGGAGCTCCATGAAGTGCGAATTGTATCTTTTTCCTACTAAAGCAACCCCCCCGCACCACCACCACCATCATATCTACAGCATCTGCTGCCTCAGAATGGTGTCTGTCCTGCCTGTCACTCCCAGGATTGCACTGGGGCCAATGTGGCGTAGCAGCTATGCTGTGAGATGGTATACAGCCAGAACTAAAATCCATAGCCCCTTTTCCTCCGGGTTTTGGGTGTGTGGTCCCCTTTTACCTTGCAGTGTTAGAACTGTGTCACAGCAGCCCTCCATGTGGTGAGCAACTACCATCTGGCCCGTGGGGTATGGGGTAAACATCCCTGGGAGCAGATTGATCAAATGACTAAGGATAGTGTCAGACGTCTCCTTAGCCAGCTCCCAGCCCTGCCCAGTCCACAGCAAGAACAGTGTGTGCTAGGAGTAGGTTCCTAAAGAAGGAAATACCTGAGTCATGCCTTTCCCAAGGCCCTGTGATGCCCAGGGGCGGGTGCTGCTACAGATGGTTCCTTGACAGTGCGCTAAGCGGAAGACGCTCGCGGAGCGGCAGCTGCAGGATTCGTTTGTGGAGCCGTCACAGGAGAAAGTAATGCTGCACCTGTTCCCTGGGGAGAACTGTACGCTGACCCCACTTCCAGGAGTGGCCCGTGTGGTGCACTCTAAGGCCTTCTGCACGGTGCACTGGCAGGAGGGTGGCCGGTGCAAACAGAGCTCCAAAGATGCCCACACACTGCCTCCAGCTCAGATCCTGGGCATCCAGAGCGGGCAGGGTACAGCCAGGGGCCAAGTGAAGTGCCCAAGGAGCGGCACCGAAGGCAAGGGCGGGGGGCGGCCTCCTCCCTCCATGGACACTTCTCAGAGCTCTGGAGAGAGTTCCCCTGAAAGTGCCCTTGGGGAGGGGGCTGCCCCAAGCCTCAGCAGCCCGAACGCTCCCGACAGGCTTCCCCCTGGGCTCCAGGATGCTGGGGTACAGACCCCTACGGCAGCTCCTGTAGAGGTTGGGGACGGCCCAGCCAAAGAGCCCGGGGCCACGACTTGTGCCTGTGGCCAGCTCCCAGAGCTGGAGGACGATCTCTCTCTCCTAGACCCCTTCCCCCGCTACATGAAGTCCTGCCAGGACCTCATCCTCCCTGAGCCGTGCCACTGTGCAGACTCTCGGCTCTCGGCCTGTGTCTCCCCAGAGACTCAAGCCCCCAGCAGCGCAGAGGTGGCCAACCTTGCCCAGACCAGGGCACCGTCTCCTGTCCGTGGCCTATCTGGCCTGGAGCCTCAGCCCAGCCCAGGGCTCCAGCCAGATGTTTGCACTAAAGACTCAGCAGATGCTCCTGCGGAGGAGCCCCAGGAGAAGGTGAGCCCCTCGGACCCCCCGCCACCTCAGGGACAGCCTTCTGCCAAGCCTCCAAAAGATGTCCCTGCCAGCCGGCTGGCCCAGCAGCTCCGCGAAGAGGGCTGGAACCTGCAGACCTCCGAGAGCCTGACACTGGCCGAAGTCTACCTCATGATGGGAAAGCCAAGCAAGCTGCAGCTGGAGTATGACTGGCTGGCCGAGCTGGGCCCCGAGGGCCAGGCCCCTGGTGGTTCCCCACCTGCTGCCTTTCACAAGCAGCGCCTCCTCAGCTGCCTCCTGAAGCTCATCTCCACTGAGGTCAACCCCAGACTGGTGAGTGAGTGTCCGCACGGCTCTGTTGGCACCCAGAGGGCAATCAGGCCCAGCCCCATAGCAGGTGGTCAGGAGTCCCACTGGCTCCTCAGGGAAGGGCAGGAGGCAGGGACCTCAGTGACCAGAGAGGCAGAGGTTCTCACAGACCATGTTTCATTTTATTGAGCGAGGCCATGCTGAGCACTGGCCAGGGTTTTGGCTTCTTGCCAGACAAGGGCCCTGTCTTCTGCTTCTAGGCTCACACAGGGCTCCAAAGAGGACAGCAACCAGCAGGCCATGCCTGTTGGGCCTTGCTAGGCTCCAGTGATTCTGCTGAGCCCTGAGCGTGCCAGCCAAGGGGTCAGTGTACAGAGGTGAGGTGGCAGGCTTGGCCAGGACGGAGCCAGATTGGACTTTCTCTAGGTGTCGGGAGGGTTGCAGGTTTCTGCAGAGGAATGACAAGGTCGGGTTTGCACTTCAGAATGGCTGTCCTGGGAGGACAGTGGTGGCACAGCCTCAGTGAAGGGAGTGGAGCTGGAGGGGAAAATGGAATGCTGGGGCTGAGAGCTGCATGGTGTGGGGCTTAGCTTTGTGGGGCTGCACCCAGGAAACCTCTGCAGGCCGACCTCCGTGGGTCGCTGTCCAGGAGACGGCTAGTTGAAGTAGTCTGGGGCTCCTCAGGAGGGTCCAAGGTGAGTGGGTGGATCCCTGAGCCCAGGGAGTGACCATGGTGGCCCAGGAAGTGGGTGGTCATGCCAGGTAGGCCATGGCATGTGACCCCAGCCAGGGGAGGCTGATTAGCAGAGCTGCAAATGGGGCAGAGACTTGCTGATGGGAAAGTCTTGTAGGATCTCCTGGACACGAGCAGAGTCCTAATGCAGGCTGTTCCCGAAATAGCAGTGTATGCGTGGTGTTTAGAAGCCTGGAGGCTCATAGGTTCCCGGAGGGACAGCTGAGGGAGCTGAATGCTGTGGCTTTGGGGGACAGGCCAGGACTGCAGGCTCACTGTGCACCCCTCAGTACTGATTCACAGTCAGTACCAAGTGTAAGCGGTGCCTGAGAACACACACCACACCTTCCACTTTCCCTGAACAGACGCTCAGTCTGTGAATTTGCTGTTCTGCCTTGGTTTCTGGTTGACTCTCCCACCAGGTTCCTCTCCGTTTTCTCAGTTGTGCCCCAGGCAGTGCTTGCACACAGAGGCTCTCAGTGGAGCAGGTGAAGTCAATCAGTGCCTTGTGAGAGAGGTGGGTGGGAACTGGCTGGATGCTGCAGAGGCTGGTGAGGCAAGGCCTGAGGGTGAGAGATGGCCTTTGGATTTCGCAGCGTGGAGGTGCCCCTCGGTCAGGCATGGGCAATACTAGGGTGACTGAGCAGAGGTTATGAGTTTAAAAACGTTTTCAAGTTTGTCTTTTGGAGGGGGTCAGGAAAAGAGACTGGGGGACACATGAGTATGTCCAATACCTTATGGAAGGAGGCCAGGCTAGACTGGCTCCTGAGAAGGCTGGAGGAAACACGGCTGAGGTAGTGGCCTTGGCCTCAACTGAAGAGGAGAGTGGAGCAGGTTGGAAATACTATTGCAGAGAATACAAAGCAGAGTGCTCAGAGCCATGGTTCCCAAAGTGGGTCCCCTGTCAACAGTCTCATCTTCACCTGGGAACTTGCTAGAGATGCAGTTCTTGGGGCCCTATCACCATGGTTTTTTAAAAATATAGATTTTTATTGATTGCAGAGAGGAAGGGAGAGGGACAGAGATATATAAACATCAGTGTTGAGAGAGAATCATTGATTGGCTGCCTCCTGCACGTCCCCCACTGGGGATTGAGCCTGCAACCCAAGCAGGCATGTGCCCCAACCAGGAATGGAACTGTGACCTCCTGGTTCATAGGTTGACACTCAACCTTGAGTCACACCAGCCGGGTGATAGACCATGTTTTGACACCCTCTACCAGGTGATGCTGATGCTTCTCGGGTGCGAGAGCTGCTGACCAGAGGCCCCCGCTGAGAATGGGAACCTTGAGTTAAAGATGGATAGCCTGGCCTTTTGGTCTCCCTCCTGCTGAGGTTTGGGTGATCGCTGACAAGAGCAAGTGCCCGGGGGTCAGAATGCTGACAAGAGGCTGACTGGGCACTCGGTTGGACAATTGAATAGTGAGTCAGATTGAATAAGCTAAGCAGGAAGAGGTAGGGGGGTGGGGTAAGGGGAGGGGTCCTATGGAAAGGAGAAGGAGGGTCAGGGCTGGGGGCTGAAGGGCCATGGGAGGTACAGAGGAGGCATGGGGCCTCTGGCAGGCAGAGCAGGTGAGGCTGTGCTGAGAGTGTGGATAATGGGTTCTGTAATTTACTGCAAGGTCCCCCAGTGGGCCTTGGGTGTGGGTACCTCGGAGAATGTGGAGGACGGGGTTGGTAAAGTCACCAGGGTGAGAACAGCTGGATGGAAGGGTGTCTCTGTTGAGGGCTCAAGAGTGGAGGCAGTGCCCTCAGGCAGCAGTCTATGAAACCCCTGGGGTTTGGGATTTGATTCAGCAGGGAGCTCTTCGGCTGTGATTGCGTTTCATTCTAGAAGTTAAATCTGTATGTCTTTTCTACTCGCAATAAGAAGAGGCCACGGCAGTTGTCTTAGGCTTGTTTTCTAAAGGCTAGTTGCGGTCCCTACAATTCAGCATCTTTTGGCAGCGAGAGCCCTTCCTGGGCGGGCTGGGGTGCTCAATGCTTTCAGCTATATGTCCCCCCTCCCTCCCTTCCTCTAGTCACTTCCTGATGGTTTGCCAGTCCATGCCACCTGCCTGTGGGCAGTGAGGGCAGAGGTTTCAGGAGGGAGAGCCCTGGTTCCCTCAGTGCCCAGCTGACTGGTGATTGTGAATGCTGGCACTGCGGAGTGACGCAGGGGTGCTTTCCTTTGCCATCATGGAATGTGGTCGCTTAGCCTTTGCTGTCCATCTGATTTCAGGGAGTTCTGGTGCCTCCTGCTCCTGGGCACTCATTCCAGAACCATTGTTCATGGGCTGAGTGTGGCTGTTGTTTCTGCCCATTTCTGACCTAGGCTCCAGAATCGAACGCCAGCTCCATGGCCTCAGCGAGACCCGCCCAGGAGGAACAGTCGACGACCCCCCCAGGGAAGGTGGTGAACATCAGCTCCCGGAGCCCCCGCTGCCCTCGAAACCAGTCTGCCCTTCGCAACAGCAAGACCTTCTCTCCCAGCTCTGCGCCTTGTCCCTCCTCAGGTGAGGCTCAGCAGCCACTTTGACCAAGGGCCCACCATTCTGGGTGCCCCACTGGGCATGGGGGCTGTGCCAGGTCTGAAGGCACAGGGATTCCTGAGGCCTGGCTCCAGTCAGCCACGGTCCAGCGGGGGAGGTGAGGAAACGGAAATCACCATTTCCTCAGAGGGAGGGTGAATGTGGGCCTGTCACCAAGGGCTTTGGGACCTAGGGTGCATGAGCCAGTGGAAAACATGGGTAGCCCTTGTCAGTCCATTCACTTGGGAGGATTGGGCTTTGTGCGGGCAGCAGAAGCCTCCATAACATGCTGAGTTGGAGGTTTAGAGGCTGAGAAGGGTTGGTTCTTACTGAATCTTCTAGAGACGGTTTTCCTTTTTAATATTTTTTATTGTTGACAGTATTACATTTTCATTTATAAAAATTTTTTATTTTTTAATATTTTTTTATTGTTCATAGTATTATAGATATTTCTCATTTTTCCACCCTTTACCCTTCTCCTCCCAGCCCCTACCCACCCCCACAGGTCTTCACCACCCTATTGTCCATGAGACTGTTTTTCTTTACACCTAAAATATTCGAGTAAAGAAACCTAAGTTCAGGGAAGTCCCAGCAATACAACACAAACCTGCCAGTCCACTGTGTTCCTTTGCCCCAGTTGTATATCTGGGAGACATTTTAATTCAGGGTCCTTATTTGGGTTACTGGGTACATAAAACCAGGATCAACCTGACCTGCTTCCCTGAGGCATCAGTTTTCCTTGCTTAGTTTTATTTTTTTAAGTATATTTTTATTGATTTCTGAGAGGAAGGGAGAGGGAAAGAGAAAGAGAAACATCAGTGAATGAGAGAAAATCATTGATGGGCTGCCTCCTGCACGCCCCCTACTGGAGATCGAGCCCACAACCCAGGCATGTGCCCTGACCAGGAATCAAACTGTGACCTCCTGGTTCCTAGGTCAACACTCAACCACTGATCCACACCGGCCTGGCCTTGCTTAGTATTTTTATAGTAAAACATTAATAATTGCCATGGCTAGAATCCTGAATTTTAAAGGTAGAAAAAGAAACATGCATGTGTTGTGCGGCCCTGGTGTAAGGCTATGCTGACAGCACTTGAGCCTTCCTTCCTCTCTTCCAGCAAAGTCTTGTAACTCTTCCTGAGACTGACCTGGTGAGATGGGGATGCAGGGATAGTGGGGCTGAGGCCTGGCGTGTTCCTTTGTGTCCTGTGGCCACAAAGGCCTCCACCCCAGGCATGAGGAGTTTCAGGACCCTCTGCTGTCCTGGTCCTTGCAATGGTGACCCGTGTGCATCATACAAGAGGTGAGGCGGTCCTGCCTCTGATCTTACTCTGATCTAGATGGGTGCCCCAAAACCTGCAATAACTTTTTGGCTGAAGAGACCTAGGGTCTTGGTGTTTTAACGGTGGTCTAGGGCTGCGATTTTCAACCTTTTACATCTGATGGCATACATCAACTAATTACTAAAATCCTGCGGCACACCAAAAAATACACTTTTTGCCCATCTGACCAAAAAAAAAAAGCATAATTTTGACTCATTCACATGGACGGCTATTGTGTTGGCTGTTGTCATTGTTTTTATTTGACATTTTAAGGGAATAGAGCAGTGGTTCTCAACCTTCTTAATGCCCGCGACCCTTTAATACGGTTCCTCATGTTATGGTGACCCCCAACCATAAAATTATTTTTGTTGCTACTTCATAACTGTAATTTTGATACTGTTATGAATCGTCATGTAAATATCTGATATGCAGGATGTAGTTTCATTGTTCGCGACCCACAGGTTGAGAACTGCTGGAATAGAGGTTAGTGCCCCTGACTAAATGCTCAGATGTTGCATGTTTTAAAAAGACTTGTGGCAACAAAATTTGAAAATCCCTGCTCTAGGGTTATTTTCTGGTCAGTGAACGTTATTAGCATTATGTCTTCTCTTATTTACTGTGTTGCAAATAGCCCGCCTGTTAAGTGCTCGAAGATTCCATTTCCTTGAGAGCACTTCATAGGGGCCTTTAGGAAAACTGGGCTGCTGCTGTGTCAGGCTCTCCACCTCCTGCAGCTCTTAGTTTTGTTTTCTCCACCTTGATCCTGATTCCTTGCTATACTTCATGAGGAGGGCAGCAGCATACTGTGAATTGGTTGTTCTCGCAGATATAGTCACTGTACTTGATAGTAGGGCTAGCTGGTAGATTGTATATTCTTTTTGCATTCTGTTTTTAAAATTTTCGATTCTGTGTACTCTTTAATATCCATCCTCTTTCTTAATTAAGGATCCTTCTGGACTAATCCACCTGCAGTGCTAGAATCCATACCAGTGCTTAGAAGACCTGGTCTCTGATACCATGAGTGTCAGTGTAACCTCACAGATTTGCAAATAAAGAAAAGGGGAAGGAGCCAGGCCAGTATGGCTCAGTGGTTGAGCCTCAATCTACGAACCAGGGGGTCACAATTCAATTCCCAGTCAGGGCACATGCCTGGGTTGTGGGCTCGATCCCCAGTAGGGGGAGTGCAGGAGGCAGCCGATCAATGATTCTTTCTCATCGTTGATGTTTCTCTCTCCCTCTCCCTACCTCTCTGGAATCAATAAAAATATCTTTTAAAAAAAGAAAAAGAAGAAGAAGGGAAGGAGATCCATTCTACCATGAATCAAGGGTGCTTTGCAGCAGCATCTATGGTAACAGCTAGCAGAGTCCCAAAATAGTGGTTCCTAAATACCTACTTTCTGTCCCTCTATTTCTGGGTCGGTTTTCTGTATAATTACAGATTTAGACCAGGCATCAGCAAACTATGGCCTATGGCCTAGTTGTTGTAAATAAAGTTTTATTGGTACATGGTTGTGCTCACTGGTGCATACACATGTTGCCTGTAGCTGCTTTTGTACTACAGCTGCAGAATTGAGATTAGCAGAGTCTGCAGGCCCACAAAGCAATATTTATTATCTTTAAAGAGAGAGTTTGCTGACCTCTGTTCTACACTAGATATTCTGCTAGGTTCGTCTAGCTCTGAAAAATGAATGCCTAGCTGCCTTTCCCACCAAGGCTCAAACAAAATGGTAAAGTTTCTTTATCCTGTCAGGAAGAGCTATGATCTGCTCAGGTTGGAAACTAGAATTTCAGGGAGAAAGATGGGAAAGCAGGTTTTATGGGACTAAGAAAAAGGGAACTCCTTTCCAGGAAACAGAACAGGTTGTCAGGAATTCTTGATTTTCTTTCCAGTAGAACTCCACACTGGAGATGTTGCTGGGTGAGGGTATTCTATTCACTTCCCTTCTCCTTTTCTAGGTTTGAGAAACCCTCCAAGACCCCTCTTGGTGGCTGGTTCCTCTAGTACAGGAAGCAGTGACTCAGATGGTGGCCTTTTTGCTGTCCCAACAACTTTGCCGCCCAACAGCCGACACGGGAAGCTCTTCTCTCCTAATAAAGAGACAGAATTGACTTTCCTTCAGCATCTGAACTCCATCAGTGTAAGTGCAGGGAATGCTCCCCTCTGCTTGCCTGCAGACCCATGTTTGCTGTGAAAACACTCAGGGATCGGGCACTGTTTTCCTCATAGATGCAGTCGGATTTCTTCTTGCCAAAGCCCCGGAAGTTGCAGAACCGGCACCTACGGAAGCCGCTGGTGGTCCAGGTCAGGAACACTGGTCAGGTTTGCATAGCTGGGCTCCCCCTGGCCAAGCTGCCCGACACACTGGTTTTCTCCCGTGTCTTTAGTGTTCAACTGAAATGGAGAATCCCTGCCACTTTCTCCCTTCTTAAGAATAGGGTAAATAAAGTAATAACAGTGACCCTTACTGTATCTGAAAATGAAGATCATCTTACCCTGGCCTCTTTGCTCAGTGGTTAGTGTTGGCCCTCAATCTGAAGGGTCACGGGTTCAATTCCAGTCAAGGGTACAAACCTCGTTTGCAGGGTCAATCCCTGGCTCTGGTCAGGGTGCATGTAGGAGGCAACCAATAGATGTGTCTCCCTCACATTTGTGTTTCTCTCTGTCTCTCCCTCACCCTTCCAGTCTCTCTTAAAAAAAAAAATCAATGTAAAAATATCCTCAGGTGGAGGATTAACTAAACAAAACAAAACAAAAATGATAATCTTTATATAACGAAAACCACTTGCAAAAAAGACAGAAAGTTATGGGACTCGAGTCCTAAGAAGGTTTTGGATTGGGATATATTTGAGGATGCTCAGAACATCTCTTTGTAAATATGTAGTCAGTGGAAGCAGTGGGTAAGGTATATGGATAGGCCATAATGATAAACCCTGGTGGACCTGTAGGTGACATGCAGACCAGAGAGGGAGATACAGCAATGAGACACACGTGAGAAAAAGGGCAGTTTATTTGGAAGTAAAAGGATAAAAGAGGTGAAATGGAAATTCTGGTATGACTTTGGGCTTAGAAAGTTATTAATATGCATTGTTTTGGGATTAATGCATAGGTGTCTTTTGTTAGACCCTTAGAAATCTTTTGAGATTAAGTTATATAGAAATGAGAGATTGCATGGTGGTCCTAGGAAGGAAGATGTATTCTAAAGCCCAAGTGGGTTGTGTGTGTGTGTGTGTGTGTGTGTGTGTGTAGACTACAAGTAGACTCTTGAACAGTGCAGGGGTAAGGGGTGCTAACCTCCTGCACAGTCAGAAATCTGTGTATAACTTTTGACTCCTTCAAAAACTTAAGTTGTCCCACAGTATCTGCAGGGGATGGATTCCAGGATGCCCAATGGGCACCAAAATCTATGGATACTCAAGTCCCCTATATAAAATGGTGTCAATCAGTGTATATAGTCAGCCCTTTACATCCGTGGACTCCCAACAGTGAATTGAAAACAGTACAGGTAGTTACTGAAAAAAATACATGTATAAGTGGACCCACACAGTTCAAACCTGTGTTTTAGGGCCAACTGTAATTTAGTGTTAATGCATTTGATTTTAGTATATTTGATTATTTTATCAGCTTTATTCTATATAATAACAGGCTAATATGCAAATCGACCCAGTGGCTGAATGACCAGTCACTGTGATGTGCACTGACCACCAGGGGGCAGTCGCTCAACACAGGAGCTGCCCCCTGGTGGTCAGTGTGCTCCCACAGGGGCAGTGCCACTCAGCTAGAAGCCACAGCGGCAGTGGCGGGAGCTAAAGATATCCGACTGCCTGCTTAAGCCCACTCCCCTAGGAGCGGGCCTAAGCGGTCAGTCGGACATCCCCCGAGGGCTCCTGGACTGTGAGAGAGCGCAGGCCAGTCTGAGGGACCCCCCCTCCCCAGTGCACGATTTTCGTGCACTGGGCCTCTAGTTGATATATAATTCATGTAATGTTACCCATTTAAAGTATACAGTTCGATGGTTTTTTGGCATATTCACGGGGTTGTGCATCACCACTATCTAATACCAGAACATTTTCATCACCCCATACAGAAACCCTGCACATATTACCTGCATTGCCCCCTCTGTCAGTCGCTGGCAACCACAAATCTACTTTTAGTCTCTGTCGTTTTGCGTGTTCTGGGCATTCATATAAATGGAATCACACACAGTATGTTGTCTTTCCATTTATTGTTTTCATTAAACGTTTAATTGGCACACAGCCAGTCATTTATTTCCCTAGTGCCCACAGCTGCTTTCACACCACCAGGGTGAAGATGAGTAGCTGTAACAGAACATAGGGCCCCAAAGCCTAAATGTTCCTCCCCTAGTTAGTCCTCTCAGAAAGTGCATGTGGAGCAGAGCCGGCACATCTGCAGCTCCTCACCTAGTTAACAGGTCACCTGCCGCAGCAGCAGCATCCAAGCGGACCTAATGGCCCAGTCGAGGTTGCAGCCCCAGTAACACCTCCTCTACTCTTTGCCAACACTTTGGGGGTGCCTCTGAGGGGCACGGAGATAGATGTCCCTTGTGCTTTAGTGGAGATGCAGCTGTGCCCCAGAGCCAGAGGTCCTCAGACACTTTTAGGTTGACAGATACTTTCTGTTAATGTTTTAACTTCAGTGAATAACAGTTTGAGCAATTAATATAATTTATTATTTTTTTTTTAATTTTTTATTTGATTTTTAGGGGGTCAGTCGGACATCCCCCAAGGGCTCCTGGACTGTGAGAGGGCGCAGGCCAGGCTGAGAGACCCTCCCGAGTGCACGATTTTCGTGCACTGGGCCTCTATTTGATATATAATTCATGTAAAGTTACCCATTTAAAGTATATAGTTCGATGGTTTTTTGGCATATTCACGGGGTTGTGCATCACCACTATCTAATACCAGAACATTTTCATCACCCCAAACAGAAACCCTGCACATATTACCTGCATTGCCCCCTCTGTCAGTCGCTGGCAACCACAAATCTACTTTTAGTCTCTGTCGTTTTGCGTGTTCTGGGCATTCATATAAATGGAATCACACACAGTATGTTGTCTTTCCATTTATTGTTTTCATTAAACGTTTAATTGGCACACAGCCAGTCATTTATTTCCCTAGTGCCCACAGCTGCTTTCACACCACCAGGGTGAAGATGAGTAGCTGTAACAGAACATAGGGCCCCAAAGCCTAAATGTTCCTCCCCTAGTTAGTCCTCTCAGAAAGTGCATGTGGAGCAGAGCCGGCACATCTGCAGCTCCTCACCTAGTTAACAGGTCACCTGCCGCAGCAGCAGCATCCAAGCGGACCTAATGGCCCAGTCGAGGTTGCAGCCCCAGTAACACCTCCTCTACTCTTTGCCAACACTTTGGGGGTGCCTCTGAGGGGCACGGAGATAGATGTCCCTTGTGCTTTAGTGGAGATGCAGCTGTGCCCCAGAGCCAGAGGTCCTCAGACACTTTTAGGTTGACAGATACTTTCTGTTAATGTTTTAACTTCAGTGAATAACAGTTTGAGCAATTAATATAATTTATTATTTTTTTTTTAATTTTTTATTTGATTTTTAGGGAGGAAGCCGGGTGGGGGAGAGAAAGAGAGAAACAACAATGTGTTGTTCCACTTAAATTGGTTGATTCTTGTATGTGCCCTGACTGGGGATCAAATCCTCAGTCTTGGCATATTGGGATGGTGCTCTAACTGAGCTACCTGGCCAGGGCTAATATAATTTCTTTAAATGGTGTTCTTCACATTAGAACTTAATTATTCACACATAGGAGTCCTGGGCAGATAGGAAGGGGTGGGCACTGGGACTGTGAGATGGGGTGGAAGGCCTCAGGCCTTTAGCCTGTCTGTGTTACAGGCAGCAACTTTATTTTTACACCCCAAATTTGAGGAGGCCCAGAATATGAGTGTCTTTTTTAATAGTCCACACGGAGTGGTTATAAACACACATATATATATATATGACTAGTTGCATTCCATCCAAATCCGTAAGAATATTCTGAATTAACAGTGGATGGTTCTGACATTCCTCCAGTTTCCCTGGAGGAAGGTTTGATCCCTCGGCATTTTTTTTCAGAGAGGACCCGATGTTCAGAGTTCGTTGGGTCTACAGGACATAGCCATCCTCAGACTGTCCCAGGCGCTCTGTGTTAATAGCCCTAGAACCCAGAACCATCTGCTTACAATCTCAGTTCACTGTTGTCTGGAATATCCCCTTACAAGTCTTTGCTGGTTTCCTGAGTGATTTTTATTACCTGATTGGCAGTTTTCCCTCCACAGAGAACCCTGCTTCCTAGACCTTCTGAAAACCAGTCCCACAACGTCTGCTCCTTCTCTATCATGTCAAATTCCTCCATAACCGGTAAGCACTGGGTCTCCTGGGGTTGGCTCTTCACTCCTTACTTTCCTGTGGCCTCGTCTTTGGGAATGACAGGCATTCGCTTTTATGGCTGTTGGGGTGACATTTGCAGCATTCCTTTGTCCATTCTATCAGCAGAAACTGAGTGTGCCCTGAGCCAGGCAGGCATGGCCCTCTGACAGGTGCCCGCAGGCAGCTTCCTTCAAAGGTGGGCTCAGGTAGCCCTGTTAGGGATGCTTCGCTTAGTTCAGTCCACCCTCTCCGTATAATGTCTTGTCAGGTGTTTTTTTGTTTTGAGCTTGTTTGTTTGGTGTGTGTGTGTGTGTGTGTGTGTTTTGTCAGGCATTTTAGGAAAAAAATATACAACTCTGGCCTTCATAAGTAGATCTCTAAGGTCAATGGGGGCCCTGGCTCTTTGAAGTAAATTTTCTTACTTCAGTGAGAATTATTCAGTGAAACACGTAACTCTGTGATTTAGCTTTTAAATCAGCCTTGATTTTCACATTCATTTATTTCCCTAGTGCCCACAGCTGCTTTCACACCACCAGGGTGAAGATGAGTAGCTGTAACAGAACATAGGGCCCCAAAGCCTAAATGTTCCTCCCCTAGTTAGTCCTCTCAGAAAGTGCATGTGGAGCAGAGCCGGCACATCTGCAGCTCCTCACCTAGTTAACAGGTCACCTGCCGCAGCAGCAGCATCCAAGCGGACCTAATGGCCCAGTCGAGGTTGCAGCCCCAGTAACACCTCCTCTACTCTTTGCCAACACTTTGGGGGCGCCTCTGAGGGGCACGGAGATAGATGTCCCTTGTGCTTTAGTGGAGATGCAGCTGTGCCCCAGAGCCAGAGGTCCTCAGACACTTTTAGGTTGACAGATACTTTCTGTTAATGTTTTAACTTCAGTGAATAACAGTTTGAGCAATTAATATAATTTATTATTTTTTTTTTAATTTTTTATTTGATTTTTAGGGAGGAAGCCGGGTGGGGGAGAGAAAGAGAGAAACAACAATGTGTTGTTCCACTTAAATTGGTTGATTCTTGTATGTGCCCTGACTGGGGATCAAATCCCTCAGTCTTGGCATATTGGGATGGTGCTCTAACTGAGCTACCTGGCCAGGGCTAATATAATTTCTTTAAATGGTGTTCTTCACATTAGAACTTAATTATTCACACATAGGAGTCCTGGGCAGATAGGAAGGGGTGGGCACTGGGACTGTGAGATGGGGTGGAAGGCCTCAGGCCTTTAGCCTGTCTGTGTTACAGGCAGCAACTTTATTTTTACACCCCAAATTTGAGGAGGCCCAGAATATGAGTGTCTTTTTTAATAGTCCACACGGAGTGGTTATAAACACACATATATATATATATGACTAGTTGCATTCCATCCAAATCCGTAAGAATATTCTGAATTAACAGTGGATGGTTCTGACATTCCTCCAGTTTCCCTGCAGGAAGGTTTGATCCCTCGGCATTTTTTTCAGAGAGGACCCGATGTTCAGAGTTCGCTGGGTCTACAGGACATAGCCATCCTCAGACTGTCCCAGGCGCTCTGTGTTAATAGCCCTAGAACCCAGAACCATCTGCTTACAATCTCAGTTCACTGTTGTCTGGAATATCCCCTTACAAGTCTTTGCTGGTTTCCTGAGTGATTTTTATTACCTGATTGGCAGTTTTCCCTCCACAGAGAACCCTGCTTCCTAGACCTTCTGAAAACCAGTCCCACAACGTCTGCTCCTTCTCTATCATGTCAAATTCCTCCATAACCGGTAAGCACTGGGTCTCCTGGGGTTGGCTCTTCACTCCTTACTTTCCTGTGGCCTCGTCTTTGGGGATGACAGGCATTCGCTTTTATGGCTGTTGGGGTGACATTTGCAGCATTCCTTTGTCCATTCTATCAGCAGAAACTGAGTGTGCCCTGAGCCAGGCAGGCATGGCCCTCTGACAGGTGCCCGCAGGCAGCTTCCTTCAAAGGTGGGCTCAGGTAGCCCTGTTAGGGATGCTTCGCTTAGTTCAGTCCACCCTCTCCGTATAATGTCTTGTCAGGTGTTTTTTTGTTTTGAGCTTGTTTGTTTGGTTTTTTTTTGTGTGTGTTTGTGTGTGTGTGTGTGTGTTTTTCTTTTGTCAGGCATTTTAGGGGAAAAATGTACAACTCGGGCCTTCATGGGTAGATCTCTAAGGTCAATGGGGGCCCTGGCTCTTTGAAGTAAATTTTCTTACTTCAGTGAGAATTATTCAGTGAAACACACAACTCTGTGATTTAGCTTTTAAATCAGCCTTGATTTTCACATGTTAGGGGGGATGCTTCTAGTTCAGTCCACCCTGTCTGTATAATGTCTTGTCAGGTGTTTTTTTGTTTTGAGCTTGTTTGTTTGGTGTGTGTGTGTGTGTGTGTGTGTTTTGTCAGGCATTTTAGGAAAAAAATATACAACTCTGGCCTTCATAAGTAGATCTCTAAGGTCAATGGGGGCCCTGGCTCTTTGAAGTAAATTTTCTTACTTCAGTGAGAATTATTCAGTGAAACACGTAACTCTGTGATTTAGCTTTTAAATCAGCCTTGATTTTCACATATTGCTTTTTCTTGTGCCTTCTTTTCATCTACAGAAAACCTAGTAGGAAAGAGCCCAATTGCAGAAGCAGAATCTTAATCCAAGATTTGATGCTCTCATTGCTTCAGAGGAGCTTGTAGCTTCACTTGGGTGTGCATCACCCTGAAAGGGCCATTCCAGGGGAATGACAGTGCTGACAGCACCCTCTTCAGCAGCCCCCACGGGCCACAGTGGTGCTGTTACCACGGGTGCAGAGCTTTCTCCTCATTGGGGGCCCGTTTGACCTCTGACTTCCCCAAGTTAGCACAGTTTTGGAATGTTCAGTGGTGTCCCCTTGGCTCAGCTTCCATGGTCCCAACTGGCTGTGAAGCCGACCCTTTGTAGTACCTGCCGTGCCGTCAGAGAGCACTGGGGCAAGTGGGCTTGATGCGGCTGCTTCTGTTTTTGTCCTCACAGGTAGAGGCTCATTCCGGCCCATCCAGTCTTCCCTCACCAAAGCGGCTCTGTCTCGGCCGATCATGCCCAAGGTCCTTCCGCCCCAGGCCCCAGGCCACCTGGCCAGTAAGTTCCTGTGACCGGCATGGTGACAGACACCACGTGAGGCTTGTGAATGATGTTTCTGTTTTCTTCTTCCCCCAAACCATGCTCTCATTATCCTCCAGAGAGAACAGGAAATCTGTTTCCCTTGCCTTGAAATGAGGCGTGAGGGAGAGGCTATTCCTGTGAGCGCTGCGGAGTATGTTTGGGGATGTCAGTAGAGCTCCCATTGGCAGTGTCTTTTCTGTTGCCAGGTGCTGTCGACTTAGCAGCTACAAGTGCCGGCATCATCCCCGGGAGCCCCCTCCCTGTCTTGGATGCTGAGGGTTTGTCTGGCATCTCTCCACTGTCTTCAGATGAGGCAGCAGCTACCCTTTCGGGTCAGGACTCCACTGGCACCCTCCAGAATGGCGACCCCATCCCCACTGTGGGGGTGAGTGTTTAGAAGGGCTTCTCCGAGTTACCACCAGCTTTCAGGATGGGTCGGTCGGTCACTCTCCAGAGGGATGGGAGCCGAGATAATGGGGCTGATGTCATGCTGGACTCTAATTCTGCCTCAGGAGTGGGATGGGCCTGATGACCAGAGGGGAGTCACAGAACCAGGGAGGCTGGGGCATGAGTGAGCTCTGCGTGGCTCAGGGGGGGAACCATGGAAGGAGACAGAGTGGGGACAGGTTTGCTGGGTGACACTGGAGAATCCAGAACTGAGGTAAGCAAGATCTGTATGTCAGCAGACTTCTCAGATGTCAGCTTGGTCTGAGAAGGAACTTTAACCAAGTGGACCAACAGTGGGCCTAGTGATCCCTGACTGCCACTCCTCTCCGGTTCTCTCAGTGCTCTGGTTTCACGGCCAGCCCAGCCTGAGGACTATGAGGTTTTGAATTGATAATCTTAAGTGCAGTGACTTCCTGGCCCACCTTCTGGAAGCAGTGAGCTTGCTTGTCTTCACAGGAAGAGATTTCCAACCTGGACCTCAATGGGTTCCTGTAATGTCGGCTGTTAGGAAGCTGGGGAGAGGAACAGCTCTTGTCTCAGGAGCTTAATAGCCATTGGGCAGAGTTCTGGCATGCTGATTGTAAGGGCTTTAGGCATTCATGGTGTACTTTTCTTGTAGGGTACAAGCGATCCATTCATCAGCATCCCCTCGAGGCCTGAGCAGGAGCCAGTGACGGAAGGTTTCCAGGTAGAGTGTGCTGTTGGCTGCTGAGCAAAATAGCTGCCCCAGAGCCCCCCTCCAGTGCTGAGTCCCCGTGCTCATGGTCCTGCCAGCAGAACTGGCCTCCCTGCCGTGAGTTGCCAGGATGTGACAAGGACACTCGGACATCCAATAGTTTTATCCTCCCATTGCCTAGATAAAAGGAGCATGCATCTTCCATCTCAGGTTTCTTCTTCCCTTCCACGTGGCTGGCTGATTCAGACACAGTTCTGAAAGATCAGTTTCTTGGGCTAAGGGGAGGAGATCATCAACTGGCAGCACTTGTTGGCACTTACCTTCTGCCTGGGTGTTACCAGCTGTCTTGCTGGCAGGGAAAGCAGGTCCAGATGTCCAGGGCATCGTGGCCAAGGCCCCCCTGGCCTGGCCTTCCAACTCTGCATCCCCAGAGTAGTTTCTGGAGAAGTTAATGTGTTTCATACTAGAATGGAAGAGGTATCTGCTATGGTCACTGCCTCTCTGTTGACTTGGCCATCACTTGGTTACCATCTTTTGGGGTTGAGGTTGATTTTTGTTCCTTATTAGGGGATTGGTTTATCCATTGTATCTGAACAATTCCCATCTCCCACCAGGGTTCACCTGTCCTCTCCTTAACTGAGCTATCTAAGGCTCCTCTGCACAATGGGCTTTCCACCCCACTGCCCTTGGCGGAGGGCTCCAGCACTCGGCTCTCTCCGCCTAACGTTTCTGCTCTGCTGGACATCTCTCTCCCCGGGCCACCTGAGGACGTGCTCTCGCAGGGAGAGCCTGCCACTCAGATCAGCGACTCCATCATTGAAATCGCCATCAGCTCTGGCCAGTACGGTAAGGAACAGGCTGCCCCTGCACACCCTTCTTGGAATCAATTCCCCATTAGGACGGGGGATCCAGGCTTGCCCTTGACCTCCCATCTGAGCATTTGCCAAACCTGCTGGGTATGTTCCCATTCCACTCCCACTTTTGCACCTGCCACCTATATGGCCTTGCCCAGCAGAGGCAGAGGCAGCACCAGTGAACAAGGTACAGATAGGACCTACAGCTGTGTATGGTCTGGTGGGACTGCTCCTGGCCTTGAGACCAACAGGATTGGATGAGCCATTGTCCTAGTTGGTCATGAATCTAGGTGAATGCCTTTGGGTTTTGCAAATTCCAGGAGGGGACTGGACTGGTATCCTGTAGCAGTGGTGTGGTTGGCACTTGCTGGTATGAGTCAGGCCATGAATTCAGATTAAGCTGACTTCACAGGCTAGTAGTGAGTGGCTGTGGGCAGGTCACCGGCTCATTTGTGAACTGGGAATAGCATGTAATTCACAGGGCTATTGTAAGCGACCACGAGAGGATTTAGGTGAAGCTCTCGGCATAGCGCCTGGCTCATCAGTGATAGCTGTGGCCATTGTCGTCCCCTAAGATAGGTATGTGTTCCTGCTGTAGGGGATCCCCTCCACAGACCAGTGTTGTTGATCATTGTGGGGATCCAAGCAGAGTCCCGGACCTCCAGAGTCCAGTGGCACACAGCTGTGCTGCTCGCCGCCTTCGTGGCAGGTTGGAGAAGCAGAGTGCTGTTCACCCCACGTGGCGTCTCTGACCCAGGATTTTGGTTGACAGGTGAAGGAGTCCCTCTTTCTCCAGCAAAACTAAATGGCAGTGACAGTTCCAAGAGTCTTCCTTCCCCGTCCAGCAGCCCCCAACCAGACTGGATTGCCTCCCCCACCCATGACCCCCAGTGGTGCCCCAGCGACCCCACGGACTCGTCCCTCGGCAGCTTGTTTGGTGAGTGTCTGTGGGGGGTGCCCAGGTCTCTGTCCTAGACCAGCAGGGACGAGCAGGGCTCCACGTGGTGAACTTGGTGGGGGACTAGAGCCTAGATTCTCCTTGCCATCTGGCAGAACCCCCACCAGGACTGTTTGCTAGTTTTCCAGGGTTTATTTTTTCTGCACCACTTACATTTGGGAGAACGTCCAGATCTCCAGTGTGCAGTTCACTGAGCTTTGGCAAACGTGACATCCTTGTAACCCACAGCCCAGTTGCAATGAAGCCCCCGTCTATCTCCTCACACAGTCCCCTGTGCTCTTCTCTAATCCGGCCAGCTGTCCTGGCCCCTCCCCTACTAGGGCCTTCTGCTGTTGCCACCAATGGCAGGGTAGAAGACATTGGCTTCCCTCTTTCTGTTCTCAGTAAAATATTCTGATGTGGACAGGCCAGCTGTCTTGCGACATGTTGACCAGTTTGGCACGTTCACAGGATGTGTTCATCCTCATTGGGCACCAGGCGTTGTGTGATGGGAAGGGCATGTTAGCGAAAGACACCATGCTCTCAATGTCCTCTGTAAGAGGGGCTCCGGGACATGTCTGGGATTCGTGCGCTTTGCATTTTTAGAGAGCAGCCAGTACGTGCACATGGCCATCAGACTGCAGCCCCGCAGGGGGCTGTGCTGTACACATGTTGAACAGGGTCAGCACCTTGTGTGGACGCCACACCTGATGGCCCAGAATGTGCGCTCTGGTCTGGGTGATACAGGGAGCCAGCACCCGATGAGTGTTTCCTCTTGTAAGAGGTCTATATAGAACAGTACAGATCTCTGCAAAGTCAAATACAAATCATGAAAAATGGGAAACCACATTACCTGGAGGTGGGAGTGGTGACTGGACAGCAGAGCACTGAGGGGCCCCTATAATATGAGGCCTACTTATATGTGCTTCTGAGGACCCTCCAAGGCTCCTCATTTGAGAAAAGCCAGGTTGGCTACAGCTCCACACCAAGCACTGTGTGCAAGCGTGCAGATAAATGGCCGCATGGGCCTGGCGAGGCTACCTCCAGCCCTCAGGATCCTTCCCTTCGCCCGGAGCTGACCAAGCCATCTCAGGGCTTGATCCTCCTTTTCTTGGCAGCGAGCTTCATCTCGGAGAAAGGCCGAAAGATGCTGCCGACTCCAGTGGGGACCCACAGTGGCACCTCCCTGCTGGGCCCCAGCCTGCTAGATGGAAATTCGAGAGACTCATTTGTGTCCAGATCCCTGGCCGATGTGGCAGAGGTAAGTACACAATCTTATGCCTGGACTTGACCACCAGCCCTTATTCCAGAGGTGACCAAGTCCCTCAAGCAGACCTGTTTGGTTATTAAGAATTTTTCATCAAGATGTTAAAACCAGGAGCCAGCACATGCACATTCTGGCTTCTGAGAAGGGAAATTCTACTGGCAAACAACAAAGTAATAGCTGAGCTCTGAAGGCATCAAAACCTGGAAAATTCAGGGTTAACTGGGGGTTCTGCAGGTGACCAAAGCAGGGATTGGATCTCATTGTGGCCTACACCAGCCGCTTGATCTCAAGCAGGTAATGCTGCCTCTGTGCGGTGCTGATGCCATTGGTAGAAGAGTAAAGAGCACCTGTAGGTGGCTTTGTCATCACTGCTGGTACCTGACAGGAGAGGGCCTTCAAACAGCCCCTCCCTGTGTCGTTACATGTCACTGCCTCCCAAGCAGGAGAATGGGTTCTGCAGGAAGGGCACAGATACTCCCTCCAGCTCCTCCCATGGTGAGGGTGATGATAACAAAAGTCACATTATGGCAGACCCTCAATGTGCAGGCAAGGCTCAGTTTGTGACCCTCATCTTTGGACCGGCATGCAGTGTCCCTCTTTCTTAGGCCAGGCTGTCTGCTCATGTAGCCACCCAGGCTCCATCCAACATGGTATGAGTGTTGTTTGAGCAAGAAAGCCTTGCAAGGTTGTGCACTGATTGAAGGAGTAGAGACAGGTACATTTAATTATAAGACAGATACATTTAATTAGAAGGTGGCTGACGGGGCAGGACTGGTCGAGATGGGCCGGACATGTCCTGGAGCCAACCTCCTGTGGTCCCTCCCTGACTGGCTGCACCTGGGGTGGCGCTGTGGCTCGAAGGGCACCTGCGGAGTGAGTGGGGTCCCTCCGACAGGTAGGGCCCCTCAGCCTGGCCTACAGGGATCAGGCTGAAACCGGCTCTCTGACATCCCCCCAGGGGTCCCGGAGTGCGAGAGGGCACTCTGCATCGACAGGTAGGGCCCCTCAGCCTGGCCTACGGGGATCAGGCTGAAACCGGCTCTCTGACATCCCCCCAGGGGTCCCGGAGTGCGAGAGGGCACTCTGCAAAGTTGCTGTCGTACAGGGTGTGGAACGCAAACGGAAGTGTGCAGTAAACCAGATTTGGGGCCAATAGTGCCCCAGCAACAACATAACCCATGGCCAAAGGTGGAATCACACGGCCCCGCGAGGAATCGGGCTCCCTCCTCTCTGGTTTTGGGGTGCATCACCTGTGAACTGCCACTGCCAAGTCACTGCAGCTTGGCAGCTCCTGCATTGAGCATCTGCCCTCTGGTGGTCAGTGCGCATCATAGCGACCGGTTGGACACTTAGCATATTAGCCTTTTATATATATAGATTCTTAAGGGGAACCCTGGATCAGACAAGGCTAACACAGTGGTGTCCCATTGCCTCCTCAGCTCTCAGTATCCTGATGTGAGTCTTAAGATCTGAGGAGCTTGTGGGACGGCTTTTTGGAGGATTCTAAGCCAGCTCCTAACATGAATGGAAATTTCACCCAAATACAAACTAAACAGAACATAGTACATTTCCTCCCCCTCAATGAGCATTTCTGTGGCCATAGAACCTTTATTTAGAGAAGATCTTGTGACTGTAATGTTCCATAAGAGGCTGGTCTCTTTCCTTTCCTGTGTCTATGTGGACATTGTTTATAAGCTCCTAGCTCCTGTGGAAGTGGCCACTGCACAAACATCCCAAGATGACACACTTGGACCCACTATTCAAAGGTGGTCCACAGAACCACTGCAAAACACCTTGGACTTGTTAGAAGGGCAGACTCTCGGGCCCACCCCAGGGCCAGTGAACCAGAACCTGCATTTCTAACAAGATCTCTGGGTGGCCTGTTGCACACAAAGGTGAGCAGCACAGAACAAAGACAGGTGCTATTCATGAATTACTAAATCCATAGCTAGTAACATATTTACCTCCAGAAATAGCCATTGTTTAACAAAAAGATCTGACCACAAATTCTCCAACTCAAAAAACATGACTGTGTTTTTTAAATAGTCCTTATCATCTAGAAGTGCATTCTGAGATGTGTGGCTGAAATGATCTGATGTTGGGATTTGAACAAAAGTGATGGGAGCAAAGAGTGGGTGGGAGAGGTGGGCCTAGATTGGCCACAGATTGATGAAGCTGGTGATGGATATGTGGGGGGAAACAGTCACTATTCTACTTTTTTCCTTCTTTTTTAAATCCTTGCCCGAGGTTATTTTTTCCCAGACAG